AAGAAAAGATTCTTGACTCAAATGCAAGGGTTTGTTGTCTTTCTGTATGTAATATTTAGAGCTACAATGATCAGTTAACTGTTCGACACAAAATTAATAAATTTATGTTACTGTTTATTGAGCAATACGTTTCACAATTTTTTGAGCTATTGTTGACCAATCTATTGAGAAAATAATATCTTATTTTCTTATATGATGTCTTATCTATCATAAATACATATTGCCAACAATTTTAACACTACAAATCCATTTTAAGAGTGTGGCAATAAAGAGCCAGTTGCATTAGCAGAAGGATATATATACATTTAGAAAGAGTTAGTTTGATGCAGTGTTTGTCATTTTAACTCATTTGCAATAATTTTCCAGCAGTGCTTATTAACAGTGTGTCCCAGTCTGTGTTATTTGATCTGTCAGTGTCCAATTTCCACATTTCAGGCTTGGAGAGCAGTATTACAGAGATGCCATGGAGCAGTGCCATAGCTACAACGCTCGTCTGTGTGCTGAGCGCAGCATCCTCATGCCTTTCCTGGACTCCCAGACAGGTGTAGCCCAGTCCAACTGTTACATCTGGATGGAGAAGAGACATCGGAGTGCAGGTTTATTTAATGATAACAGAAGGTTGTCAGTAAATTGACTTTAAGTTTAGTTATATGATGATGATGATGATGATACAGCCAAATCATGTTATTGTTTTAAAGAATTAATGCTAGGAGTTCTTGCTATGTTTTTTAATACTCTTGCCATATCGTGATGTATATCAGTATTGGAAAAAATATTCTTATGCTTTTTGTACAGAGGCACAGAAAGGTCCATTATTTTCACAGGTATACTTGCCTCCGATCACACCAAAAAATCATTTCACCTTTTGAGTCTTCTGTGTGTACTGTTCTCTGTCACACTAGGTGTAGCTCCAGGGCAGCTGTACACTTACCCAGCCCGTCGCTGGAGGAAGAAACGGCGTTCTCATCCGCCTGAGGATCCCCGTTTGGCTTTCCCTCCTCTCAAAGCAGGTATCACACCTGATAGAACAACTTTTCTTGTGACAGAAACAGGGGTTTGGATTCATTCATGCTGGTTGAGCTTCATCTGTAAAATTTACAGGGCTGCAACTAACAGCTAGTTTAATAATTGAGTAATTTGTAGATTATTTTTATGATGTATAAAAAAACATGCAGAATTCAATTTCCCACATGTTGAAGTTGCATTAATTTAAACAGTACTTTTCTGATATTTCTCTGCAATGCATTATTAAACAAAAAATAAAATGATTTGTACAAAGAATCAAGCATTTTATAAAATACACAATTCACTTTTTGAATCTTCTGTTAACAAAAACAGTGTTACTAAAAACACTAAAATGTTTCTGAATTAAAATCATTTATATGTTCATAAAACATTCCATGCTAATGTAAAGGGCCAGTGCTACTGGTGATGGTTAAAAGTATATGAGTATGCCTAAACACTCCCTAATACATTTACACTTATGTACTCTGCACTGTCCCCACTAACTTGCATATGTGTAATCATTGTTCCTGGACACATCTTCCTATTTTAACTTAGCTTATTGTGTTTAATATAATGCTTGGCTGTTTACATGAATGCGATGCAAATGCATTTAGTAGGTATTACTAGCATCCTGCACAACCTACAGTCATGTTCCTAAATATATAATTTTATCATAATATATGTCACAATATAATTTGAAATCAGGTACCTCATAATTTTAGTTTCATAATTTCTTACATTTCACAATGTGTAAAGTTAATCACTCCATACTTCTTTTCTTGTCCTGAGATGACTTTTGTTGTGATTTAGCGCTATACAAATAAAATTTGATTTGATTTTTTGAATTTGATTTCTTCTGTAACTCTGTCTTTTCTTTAGGTGCTAATGCATTAGCGTCATGCTCCCATGCCCATGCACAGATACATTTTGCCTGTGTGGCACTGGACAGTCTTCATTTTGAGTATAAAAATGAGTTTGGTTGTCCACTTGTCTCATCTGTAACTCACTACTATCCACCACTTTTACCATTTTCAAGCTTTTTGATGCACTTACCGTTGTAGTCACCCAGTTGCTGGCCCAGCTGTCTCACACAGCTACATGACTAGACCCGACTAATTGACAGTTATATTTGTTGCCAACTATTTTTATCAAATTTTCTTGATTAGTTGTTGCAGCCCTAAATATCTACTATATTGTTTATATTTAACTGTTGTGAGTGGGAGCCTCTGCTTTGCCATTTAATTGGGCATGTTTGTGTGTGTGTGTGTGTGTCTGTTTCTGTGTTCATGTCATGTTAATGCATGCATTCCTTTTGTGCTTGATGTGTGCAGCTGATTTGGAGATGGGACTGAAACGTGATGCCTTAGGGGCCGTGGATGGCAGCAGTCTGGAGGCCCTGCTGAAGGGGGAGCCCCTCGACAGGAGGAGTGGCATGTCTGACCTCCGTGGCCCTGAGGAGGACACAGCCACTGTCGAGCCCCCTGCCACATCAGCGGCCACTCACACATCATCTGGGCGTGTCCGCAAGGTCGGGCTCAAAGCTTGCTCAATGCTTCTGTTTTCTTCATACATACTTTGAGTACAGTGAGACTTAATCCAGACCTTCTCACTGTAGAGAGTCCTGGACCACGATGACTACTTGGATGACTTGGATGATGAAGACTTTGAGGATGAGACCCCCAAGAGACGAGGCAAGAGCAAATCCAAGGTGAGTGTGTTATGTCTTGTTCTGCAGTCAGGTCCTTACAGGTGGCCAGAGGACCTCACAATAGAGCTATTCTTGTTTTTTAATCTTGTGTTTTGTTAAATGTATACTGTTAAGAGTGAATTATTTCAGTAGTTGAACTGGTAAATGGTTTCTGTAGGGTCGCAGTGACAAGAATGGCAAGAAGAAAACGGAGGCAGCAGCTGCAGCATTGGAGGACAGGGACAAACCCTATGCCTGCGACAGTGAGTAGAAGCTTCCTTTGTAACATCTGTGTGTATGTGTGAGTCATGCATGTCAGCAAGAGTTAGTGTTTTTTTTTTTTTTTTAAAACCCTAAAGACAAAGACAAGCCTGCCATACATGGGGTCATCTGAAAGATCCCGTTTGGAACTAAAGTTTGTCAACAGAAATTAGAAGAGTTGCCCGGCTGGATGTGTGTGTTTTTTTTTTTTGGTTTTTTTTTTCCCCTTGAGCTTCCACTCTGTATGTGCTTTGTAACTTCATGCTGGCACTAGTTCACTACAGATGCTGACCTCCACTGTATGAGTGTGCTATTAGTCTGTCAGCCAGAAATGAACTATGTGAGAAAATAAGTTCAAAAACATGTGGAGCCGGCTGTGGGGTTCGTGGTTCCACCTTGGGTCTTATTGGACAGTATTTAGAATTAGCCACCATCATTATAACACTTTTGTATAACCGTGTGTGTGTGTGTGTGTGTGTGTGTGTGTGTTTCAGTCTGTGGGAAGCGCTACAAGAACCGTCCTGGCCTGAGCTACCACTATACACACTCTCACCTGGCGGAGGAGGAGGGCGAGGACCGCGAGGAGATCGAGGCACCACCCACTCCTCGCCAGCCTGAGGAGCAGAAGAGTGAGTCACTCTCTAGTACTGAGAGACGGAGAGAGAGGGAAGGGTGGTTTGGTTGCATGCACTGTAGCATGTGTGTGTGTGTGTTCAAGGGAAAGTCTCTTTCTTTTTTTCCCTGCTCTTTTTATTTTTTGATCTCCATACTGATTTTCAATCCCAAACTGAGAGATAGACTTGGTATTCCTGACTGAAACACACTTGCTTAGTTGGGAATCCTGGCATTTTTTTCAGCATATCATCCATCTCTTTTTTTCACTCCTACATATCCATTGGATTGCTGTTTTCTTCTGTGCACGCAATACCGTATTAGCAAATGCATTCAGCAAGTGTGTTTTGTCAGTTGTCACTCATTCATTAGTTTGGAACATGATTCAATGCATCATCAGTCAGTTACTAAGATAAAAATGTTGTTGGCAGACATGGCATAAATAGGTTTGTACTTTGAAACGTTAAATATATGTAAACTGCATTATCCTGTCCAGTACTGACATCTTCACCAGGAAGAAGATTTAACTGGTCTTACCATTTTTTAACAGTTTAAACTGACATTTCTAACGTGCACTTTCTTGGCTTATTTTTCTGACTAGCTGCTAAGAAGGGGCCCAATGGGCTGGCGCTGCCCAACGACTACTGTGACTTCTGTCTGGGAGACTCCACCTTAAACCAGAAGACCGGCCAATCAGAAGAGCTGGTGTCCTGCTCAGACTGTGGACGCTCGGGTATGAACTTTGACTGTTCACCTAGTTACTGTTGCTGCGCCTGTCTGACTTTCTCACATGACATGTACAGTGTGAACAGTGGCTTACCATTTTTTTCTTGGGAAGTTTTGAAACAGTGGGTTCTTGGTTTTAGGAGACTAAAGCAGGCTCATTTCTAGCTGGTAATGATTGATTTTACCAGCTGAAATGACAACCAGATGATTTCTAGTTAGACTAAGGACTGATCAGTGTATTTGGCAGAGGTAACACTGTCCCGAGTTTGGCTGGAGTGTAAACTTCCCCAAACCAATGTAAAAGCAGGATAGAGCTGCTACATTTACCCTAAACTCTTATAGTATCCAGAAGCAGCTTGAACACAAATATGATGCCAGGACTTTTTTAAAATGTGATCTGTAACCCCACAAACTATAAACAGTTAGTCAAAGATGTACCTCTTAGTGTTGGAGGTAACTACTGAAGTAGTGAGGCACTTAGCCATGCTTGCTAACAATTGCGGCTTATGTTAGCAGAACAAACAGGTAAACTAATTTCATTTACATTTTTGCTTTTTTTTTTTTTTTAAGGAAAGCAAAATAGACATCACCATCCAAATTCTTTAAATGCCAAGTATCACTCTTACTACAGCTCTATGCACACTGCTTCTTTCCAGGTCACCCAACATGTCTGCAGTTCACACCAGTGATGATGGCTGCAGTGAAGACCTATCGCTGGCAGTGCATTGAGTGCAAGTGTTGCAACGTTTGTGGCACCTCAGAGAATGATGTGAGCTCTTTTTTCACTTTTTCATAGCTCTTGTACTGTCTCTTCAAAAATCATGTCAGGCTGCTGCTAAAGAAAAATGCAGTGCCTTTGATAAGTATCTGGCCATGTATTTACAAATGAGCTGATAAGTGTTTTTACAGCGGCTCATGACACCAAGTGATAAATAGCTCACATGTGCAAACACTCATTGTGACTGAAGCATTTAAGTCCTTTATGTGAATTCTAGCATCCAACTTAATACCATGACGACAGCTTTTTCTGTTTGTGAGCTTTAGCTGACAGTATTGTCAAAACCAAAAACCAATACACGTGATGTACAAATATGATTAGGCAAGTTTGTTTATGTAGTCCATTTTCATATACAAAGGCAATTCAGAGTGCTTAATACAATGCAGACAAATAAAAAAAAAACATTAAAATGCATACATTAACATTATGCAAATTAGATCCAAACAACAACAGTTACATGACTGCACAATGTGGCAACATGAAATTGCTGAGGCCTAGTACTTTTAGTAATACTGTAGCAGACTGTGTATTGTCACTGTTCTTAATGTACTTTTTACTTCAGTTTTCCCAAGACTAATCTCTGAGCAGCTGTATTTTCCTCCAGAAATGTGAAACATCAGTGTTTCTACAGTCTGCTAAACAGCATAGTGAAGCAAATTGGTCATTGAGTAATGGAAGAAAGATGCAAGCAGATAAAGTGCCAAATTGAATAGAATTAAGATACATTAACTAAAAGCTGTGGAAAAAAAGTCAGTCTTTATTTTTAAAAGTGGCTACAGCCATTATAATGGGAGCTGGTTCCAGCTGTGGCAGCATAATGGCTAAAAGCCCTTTCACCATATTTCCTTAGACCTCTAGGCACCACACAATAACTTAAGTGTCTTGTATGCTAAGTACTGCACTGTCCTTTTATATCCCATTACAACATTGTATTCTCCTTACCCTGGATGTTGGACCACTGCCACTTACACCCACAATATCTTGTACCAAACAGACTTCTCAAATATAATAACTCATTGAACAGCCTGGTATAAATCAATTGAGATGTAAATTTAATACATTTTAGAATAAAATGAAATGAACCATTATAATAATTGTTACGTGTTCTGCACTCAACACTGAGTTTTAGTTGTGAAGTAAAAACCACAGGTGGTGGTAATGCTTGGCAACAATGTACAGGACGTGCAGGAAATCAAGCGTTAACCTTTTTCTCCCTGCTCAATTTTCTCCTCTTGTCTAATCAGTAGATTAAACTAGATTGTGATATTTGTAGGACCAGCTGCTGTTCTGTGATGACTGTGACCGAGGCTACCATATGTATTGTCTAACTCCCCCCATGACAGAACCTCCAGAGGGTAAGTTGGCACTGAAAAATTTACTGAATATATTACAAGTTTTCTCTCTCTCACTCTTTTTCTCTAAGCCAGGCAGTGACATTTGGGCAACGTTTTTAGGACCGAGAGAGAGAGCATGCAGCAGTGGTTGAGGGAGATAGAGAGTGAATGAAGAGAGGGAGTAGCATTAGTGAGAATAAGGCAGTGAATTAAAGGGATAAAATTATATTTTTCTAATTGTAAAGAAAAAATAAAGAAACTAAATCAAACCACAAGAGAAACTAGGAACAGAGACTTCATATTTTACAAATAATCACCATAGAACAGATTAGTTGACAAATATAATTTGTTTGTCCACTACTTCGTGTATCGACTAGTCTAAGAGAATCAACAGGGTTCAGGAGCTGATTGGACAGTCTCTTTATCTTGCCTAAAATAGATGCACTATTGTTTGCTGCATTGTTTACAGACAACACAGTCTAATGCATATTCTTCAACTCTACATGAAAACTCCTGGTTCTTGATCCTTGTCTTACTGTTGTGTATTTTCCAGGGAGCTGGAGCTGTCACCTGTGCTTGGCTCTGCTGAAAGACAAAGCATCCATATACCAGCAGAACCAGAGCACTGCCCCTGAGTGACACAGCAGCAAGTCCTGCCCCCTCTGTGCTGGCACCCCACCCCCTACCTGAAAAGGTCAGACCTCCTCTCAGTCCAGAGATCCAGGCTCTGTCCAGATGTAGCTGAGCCAGATTGCATATCAGCTTTAGAAGTCTTTGTCTACAGCATCAACAGCGGGACTGAAAACCAAAACAGACCTCAGATCAGTCAACATGCAGATCAGACCACCACTACCATCCTGCCTGCAAAGCCCCAGAGACTTGCTGTGAAACACGTA